ATATATTTATATATATAAACTTGATGAGTAGTATTTCGAGCCAAAACGAGCCGAACACGAACGAACACGTCTTAGTTCGTGTTCGGTTCGCTAACTTATCGAACGAAATTAACGAGTCGAGCATGAACTTCTAAACGAGCCGAACACGAGCTGTTCGCGACCAACGAGCCATTTTGACAGCCCTACAAACCAAACATACCACACAATTCTTATGTATTTATTAGGAGTTATTTTCTTTCTAAATATTCTAAAGCATTTCCAGGAACATGATATACTCAATAGGTTTATCAAGAAAATTTTTTAATATACAAATAGTTGATTAAGACTAATTTTGAGTAGAAGTATAGTATTTGTTGCTTCCTTGGTCAGCCTCAAAAATATTTTTTTTTACTTCTACTATTTATATTTCTACAATATTTAATGCAATAATATAACTTTTAAAAAATAGGAATAATAAAAAATGTCGACAATGAAAACTATCTCTATACTTGGAAACAATAGTACTATTTCCAAAGTGAAAACAACTCATTGTCTTTCAAATGGAGTATACTCTTTGTGATCAAAAGTCATCAAATGTGCCCTACATAACACATGAGAGATGAATACACATGATGTAGAAAAAATGAAAATGAATTGGTATTCTTTCTTTACCAATAGTCATGGTTTACAAAACTCAAATAATTTTGATATTTATGATTTCACAGTGAAAATGAAGGGATTTTTAGAGGAAAACCAATTCAATGGAGTAATTCCAGTAAAAAACTCTCCCCATGAAAACATTTCAATTTATATTGGATTCTCAAAGAGTATGGCCGGAATTCCTAAATGGACAGAGGAGCAAAATGCAGTACTTGTTGGATTGCTGCTAGAACATTCTCTCGAAAAACATATTAAATGATGTATTGAAGAAGGATCAATGTGTTGGTATAGCTCATACGATGAATGATCGTCTTGGTGCAACTTAATAGAAGCAATGATCTTGACGCGTCACAAGAACATGAAAGCTGATGTTTGGGTATATTATCAACTATCAAATTACAACGGTTGGGGTTGGGATGAAGACCTATATTTCCGAGTCGTGACTGATGAAATATGGGAGAAGATTGTTCATTTGTGTACTATATTTACACTTAATGCATATAATTTTTTTTTTATCTTTAATAAAAATTATTATACCTTTCATTGTAGGAGAGCCCTGTCCATCAGCATGACATATTTGAGAGGATCTGTGCAGAAAATATTGTAATCTTTGGTAGAACCAAGGTCCATGAAAACCAACAACAACAACAACAACAACAAAGCCTTAATCCCACTACGTGAGGACCACGAAAACCAATTGTTAAATATTGTGCAAATCAAGAAAACTAGTGGAATTTGTTGATGACTTCTTGATGTCGAACGGTCTATATTATGCAACTTACATGCCTGCAAATGAGACATTTAATTGTGCGTATATGAGTGTGGAACTAGAAATTGAACCAAACTTGCAAACAAAGACTAGAGATAAATGTCTGAAGAGAATGTTGAGAGCATGCCATGAAAAAGCAAAAAACGTTCTGATAAAGGTCTCATGAAGAAAATGATAGAGAAACTGGATATAAATGCTACAAGAGTGAAAGATGCATTATATTGGCATTCCCCTTACACGATGACTGAATACTTAGCAAAGATAGGAAGTTTAGAAAATATATCAACAGAAGTTATTGTAGTTATTTAAGAGGCATTGTCGGAGATGGATAACAGTATTGTCATTTTAATGACTTGGGATATACCGAGATTACATGCATGGATCAAATATGTACTTAGTTGTCATCATCATTTATATGCTTTGTTTAGCTTGGTTGTAGCATTTGTGCTTTGATTTGTGCAATGTCATCAATAATGTTATCTTTTATTTGTTTTGTTATTTAGGGTCCGTTTGGGCGGCTGTGCGATGGTGGTGCGGCATCGCATTGCAGTTTTATTTTTTTGAATAAACTTCATTTTGAAAACTTTTTCAAAAAGCTGTAGCTGAAATTTGTTTTTTCCCACCACTCCTGGCTAGGCGCGATGACAACTTAATAGCTGCGGTCGGACATTTTAAAAAAAAAATTCTAATAGCCACAACAACTTTTTAAGCATCAGATTATTATTCAGCAGCTTGACAACTATTTTTTAATAAGTTGCAGCTGTCCCAAGCATACCGTAATATTTTTTTGGGTATTGTGTATTAGCTTTGTTATGTGCTTCGTAGAGTCTTTCCATGTCTAATGATAATGCCTATGTATTATTCATTTGTTTTGGCTCTTTAATAAAATTTTGTATTTGTAAATGAATTAGCTTGTCGATTAAAGGTTGAGCTTCATGAAATTGGTTTGTATAATTCTCACACATAAAGCAACATGGCACTCAATTCTTATGTATTCACATATCTAACTCATATACTTCTATTTTTACATGCTTGTGACCTTACTTATGCATGAGAAATTGTATTTCACTTATACAAAGTTAAAAGTGGTGGTAATTTTGATGTGATATGAGAGATTTAGGTGAAATAAATATAGAAAGTAAGGTTTATGTGTTAGATATATAAATATGTAGCAATCAGGTGGTATGTATGTAAAATAACAAAGTTATCACGCAGACAACTCAACCAAGCTTATTTCTATTTTAATTTCTATATTTAGGAATCACGTCATTTTTTAATGTGATATGAAAGATTTAGGTGGTGTAAATGTTAAAAATAAATTTTAGGTGCTAGATATGTAAATACAAAAGAATTGAAAGATTTAGGTGGTGTAAATGTTAAAAATAAAGTTTAGAAGCTAGATATGTAAATACAAAAGAATTGATACTTATGTATGTAAATGACCCATACATAAATAAATAAATATATAGAAACTATATAAATTCAAATATTTTAAAGAGCCATTTACAAACATACCACCCAATTCCCGTCTATTTACATATTGAACACCTAATCTTCACTTTTTATATTAATAACCCACAAATTTTTCACATCACATCAAAAATATCATAATTATATGTATTTAAATGGCCCATAAATATATAAATATGAACTATATAACTTCAAATATGTTTGAAGAGCCACTTAACCTCCCAATTCCTATCTATTTACATACTTACCACCTTATACTAATAACAGAAAAAACTTTAACATCACACAAAAAATCAACCATTTCAACTTTCAACACATGAAATATACCTTTTCATG